CTATATCAACCTTAAAAATAGAAAGAAAATTCCCTGAAGCCATTTTTCTACTCTGTTAATTTCATTAAAAGAGTGTCCCAGGCCCAGCAGTTGGTGTAATGGTTACATCACTGGACTCCCACATAGTCAACTGCAGTTTGGGTCCTGGACCCATAGGCTTAAAACTCATGCCAAGCACATGTGCATGCATGCCCAAAATCCCAAGAAGAGAAGGGAGTGTGACAAGGCCATTCCCCAGGTTTGTGTGTGTGTGTGTGGGGGGGGTGATTTCTTGCTTTCTGTCTCAGGTGAGTGCACATGCCCTATAGCAAAAAATCTCTCTTAAAAAAAAAAAAGAAAAAGAAAAAAGAAACTGTCCCACATTACTTGTCCAACAGATGACCACTTAGGTTTGGGCTGCATGTTGCTGGAGCATGGGACTCGGTCTGCTCTGAGCTCACGCATACTACCACAGTTGACTTGTAGCAGCACAGAAAGGTGACAGGGCAGAAATACCAAGACCCAGGTGGGTCTCAGAGATGCCACCAGTGCTTTCAGAACTGTGCTCAGGGAGTGCAGAGAGATGAGCCCTGGCACACCTACCCCTCCCCCCAAAGCATCCTGGAGAACTCTGAAGCCCTGGGTGGTGACAGACATGCCTTCTAAGGCTGGGGACAAGGGTAGAGAACAAGGGAGCCTGTTCCTTCAGCGTCACTCCCAGTTCAGGTCTTGAAGGTGCCCCACCCAGGCAACTTCCTTAGAATTCAGACTCTTTGAGTCAGTGTCTAGAGGATTATTTGGGAATGATCTGGTAGTGTCTGAAGTCAGGGCTTGAGGGAGCACAGGCATCCTGTGGATGCCAAGACCACAAGTAGCCTCAGGGAGAATGAAGAGGAGGGGCAGCTGGGAGGGATATAAAGCCTTCTCCAGAGATGGTGTCTGAGGCAGAACCCCATGGACCTTGGACAGTTTCAGAGTCATCGGCAATGACTCAACTGTGCAGAAATCCAGCCCCTAAGGCTGGCCAAAGGGGGACAGAAGGACATGTGTTGGGTCACCTTGGGATAGAATCCCACTGTGAGGAAAAGAAGGTGTTAGTATGTTTGAACCACATTCTTTTCCCCTTCCCAAGACAGGTCCAGCCACGTAGGGATGGTATTCCACAAATAAAACTGGTCTGGCATGATCGTTACCAGATCAAGTTTGTTCACGCCCAGGTGTGCACCCACAACCACGCAGGAAGAGCACAGTGCCCAGGGGTCACATGTTAGCAGTCCCCCACCTTTGGCTGAGCAGAGCACTGACTGTGAAGGTGGGGAATAACGAGATCAGGGCCAGGTTAGACGTCACTCTTCGGCTCTTTCATTTCTGATCTTCTTAAGTTCCCGCTCCCTTCCTTTATCTTTCCATTTCACAGGTGGTTCCTCTGGAGCCACTGACATATTAGGGAACTTTAAACCAGCTCTAATCCTTCTTTATCCCTTCTCCAGACTGGTAAACTTTGGACGGTGGCATGTCACACTGCCACTGAAATACCACTTTGTCACACTGAGAATTGACACCAAATGGGCCCCATGTGACTCAGCACCTTCCCCGCTCCCCTCCCACTCGCTCTCCTGCCCCCTCACCCCACACATGCTGGGCTTCAGCCTTTTTTGACTAGAGGGTACGGGCCCTTGTTAGAAAGAGACAGAGAGGGAGAGGGAGAAAGCAACCTCCCTCCTCCAGTGTGGTATGTTCACACCACAGTCTCTCATTCCTCCATCCTGTCAGGATTTAGGGCCTGCACACGTGCACACATGCATACATGCACACACGCATACATGCACACATGCCTGGTGTGCTTCTCAAGCTGCCACTTCACTCACCACCGTCTTCCGGGCACTTCATGCGGTCCCCTGCTTGAGATGCGAACTCCACAAGGGCAGCACCTTGACCTGTATGGGTCACCTGCATGTTCCCCAAGGACTAGACTAGTGTCCGGCCCAGAGGTAGGGTTCAGTCCATAGTGGTGAGTGGAACTGGGGACCCTGACTGAGGGGCCACTCAAGGCCTCAGCTCTGAGACTCGCTCTTCTGCAAGCAGCATGCCAGCACTGCCCAAGGGCCTCCAGCCGAACATGCTGAGTATCTGAGGGAGACTTGGGGTCAGCCCACAGCAGAGCTTCTATTTCTGTCTCTCCAGCTGCACTACCGAACAAGCAAGGTTAACCTCAGAGGCCAAGGGTGAAATTCTTTGGGCCACATAATACGTCAGCTATGACCACTTCCTTTTTTTAAAAAACAAAACAAAACCTCCTCACTCCTGAGGCCTGGAGCAGAAGCAAGAACTCAGGCTGCTAGAATCTGGTCTGAGTTTGCATAAGCTCTTTGCCAGTGTGGCTGGCGCTATGATGGCAGCTGCTTTCTGTTTGAGGTAACTTCACCTCCCTCGAGCCACAAGCCGTTCCTCTAGTATAGTGGAGGAGGCCCTGTCTCCCCACACAGCTTGAAGCAGGCATATCTGAGGAACCCCTGCATTCACAAGCCCCCACGGGTACCTCTCAGTATTCCACAGGTGCGAAGACCTGGCTGCAGCAGGGGAGCAACCTCAGGGAAGGCAGCTCCTGCAAGGTCAAGTCTTAAAGCAGCAGATGGAACAATCACTGCCCACCTGGCATGGCCTGAGTGCGCCTCAACCCCATCACCACCATGGCGAGATTAGCAGGCTGGGTCCTAAGGGCCAATGGCTTCTCTCTGCCTGCTGCCTGGGTGCCTTAGTAGGAATCCAGACCTCATGTGAGTGCTGCCACTTTCTCAGAGAGGAGGACATCGCACGCCACCTACCATCTCCCGATCCCTAGACCTTCTGTGGGTGTGGGGTACAGGGAGGAGCGTGGGCACAGGAGAGTCACGGTAACATTGGTGAGACTGAGCTGATCACTCAGTACTGAACTCAGTGACTCGGGACCCACCAGCAGTCACAGCACCCATGTCCCCGATGCAAAGACAGGGTTCTGAGGAAACAGACAACCAAGGGCCTGGAGCACAGGGCTGTGAAGGGAGCTTTATTCTGCATTCCTTCTGTATGACTTAGAAAGAAGATTCTTCATGGCTCCTGCGAACTAGGTATTTCAGGGCACACGAGAAATGAAGATTTTCTACTGATAATTCAGCCTCCAGCAAACAAGCTAGCGTGGTAGGGAGCTGCCCCTCTGGCCTTCCAAATCTGTTTCTGTGTCTCTGTCTCTCCCTGCTTCTGTCTTCTCATTTTTTTTGTAATTTTTCCTTTTTAGAAAGTTTACCAAGTCATTAAGATGTATTTTCTTATTCTTTTGCATTCCCAAATCTCTCACATTTTAGAGAGATTTTTGCTATAGGGTATGTACGCTTGCTAGAGACACAGAGACAGAAAGTGAGAAATCACCCCCAGGGGAGAATGGCCATGCTGCAGTCCCTTCTCCTCTAGTCTCCTTTCGGGATTTCTGGCATACACACATATGCACCTGGAGTGGTTTTTAAGTAGCCAGGTCTGGGACTCGAACCATGGTCAGCTATGTAGGAGTCCAGTGACATAACCATTACACCATCTGCTGGTCCCAAAATCAACTTTTTTTAAAAAAATTATTTATTTAATTCCATTTGTTGGGAACCAGCAGTTAGTATAATGGCTATGTCGCTGGACTCCCACATAGTCGACCGCGGTTCACGTCCCGGACCCAGTGGCTTAGAACTCACACCGGGCGCGTGTGCGTGCATGCCCAAGATCCCGAGAGGAGAATGGAGGAGAAGGGATTGCGGCATGACCATCCCCCCTGGGGGGTGATTTCTCGCTTTCTGTCTTTATGTCTCTCTCTGTCTGTCTGGCGAGCGCACGCGCCCTATAGCAAAAACCTCTCAAAAAAAAAAGTGATAATTCCATTTGTTATTATTTTTTAATTTGACCAGAGACAGAGAGAGAGAGAGAAAGAGGGAAAGTGAGAAAGCAAGCCCCCAGATCCAGGAATCATAGTCAAACTGCAGTCGGCCATGTGGGAATCCAGCACCTTTAACCACCACACCAGCTGCCAGCCCTCCCAAAAATAACATTTTAATTAGTGTTCTGTGTTGTGGACACTCAGATGAAGAACATTAGATGCTGGTGGCTTCATGATTTGGTGTCATTTTCCCAGGAGAGTGTCTGGCCCTGAGTTATTTATTTGTTTGTTTATAAAAGTTTCCTTCTTTACTCCATGGATGAGGCAGAAAGAGAGAGCCAGAGAGATAGCACCCCCCAAAAGAGTCCTCACACATAGTCTGCCCCCAGCCTCAGCCATGTCGTGGGCATGCACACCCTGGTCTGTTCAGGGAGATCTCTGTATATGAACCCAGAACCTTCCCAGAGTGCCTTGTGTTACAGCTGCACCACCATCTGGCCGGTCATGGCTGCCCCTCTGCTTGCCAGGGAGGGATACGTGCACTGCTTCTGGACAGGCAGGCCTGGTTAACCCTTGTGTCTAAAGGCTTCAGATATGTGTCCAGATGCCCACAGGGTACGTGGGGGACACAGGTTGCCTAGTCTGGCACCGAGAGAGAGAGCCAGCTTTCAGGCTCTGACCCAAAGCCACTTGACTATCAGCTAATTCCCTTCCTCCCTGCCTGAAACAAACTCGGGTCAGGCTCACCCGCCTGACTGGAAGAGAGCTGCAGGAGCCACACAGACCAAGCCTTAAAGACTTCATTCACAGTGTAGGCAAGTGTTGGGTGGGGCTTGGCCCGGAGGCTGCAGTCTGCAGGTCTAAGTGCGGTGCTTCAGCTCTATCTTGGCCACAGTTGCCCGGTGCACCTCATCAGGGCCGTCAGCAAAGCGCAGCGCTCGGGCCCAGGCGAAGAACTGAGCCAGGGGATAGTCGCTGCTCAGCCCTGCTGCTCCAAAGGCCTAGGAAGGAGAGAAAGGCCTGGCAATCCTTTGTCTCTGAGGGCTCGGGGAATGACAGCCTGCTCATAATGCCGGAGGTGTGCCCAGGACACCTATGTGATAGGACCCTAATGTTTCAGGAGCCTCCAGGTGGGGCTGTACCTGCCATCCCATGATGCCAGACTCACCTGGTCTGCGTGGTGCTGTCTGCCACCAGGAAAGCTCTGCATTGATGCCAGGTGTTAGGATTCAGGAAGGAGGCTCCTTGCATGGCTAAGGGGCTAGGCTCTGGTGTTACAAAGACCGAGGGCAGCTACATACAAGCTGAGTGACCTGAACAGGTCACTTCACTCTTTGTGCCTGTTTCCTTATATTAAGAATGGGGATAGGCCACCCCCACCACACCTATAGGACTTTCTGGAGAGAAAGAGGAAGCAGCATGTGTGGGGCAGTGAAGGGCAGTGTCAGGGCTCACAGGGGGCTGGGCAGCTGCGGGCGTGGAGTTTGGCCTCTGACTGTGTTCTGTGCTCACCTGAATAGCACGATCAATCACTCTGCAGGCCATGGACGGGGCTACCATTTTGATCATGGCTATTTCGGAAGCTGCAGCCTGCACAGAAGAGAAGATGTGGTTAGGAAGGCCTCAGGGCAGACACTGGAAGACCATCGGTTCCATGGGGAGGAGTAGAAAACGGGCTTGAAACATGGAAGAGGTACTGGATGTCAGTTCAGTGAGGCGGCCCTGCCTGGTACGCAGCTGTGCACCCACCCCCATGGATGGAGGGTGCAGTGGTAGTGACTGCGAGGTCACTCAGGATGTCATAAGCCGGGAAGCAAGTGCCTGGTAAAGGACAGACTCAGAAAATGGATGTCTTCCCAGAGGATGGGAACTCCTCCGGCACCCGGAGAAGGGAGGAAGGAGTGGCTTGGGCTTTGTTCAGGGTCAATAGACCAAGGCCAATCAGGGGTCCAGGACACAGAGCTTAAGGATCTGCTCTGAGTGAGGGCATTTGACTGGGCATCTGGAAGTCTCCATCTGTCTAGCACTGGAGTGTCAAGGAACTGACAGCTGGGATCCTGGGCTGGTCCCCTACTGTTGAGGAAGGACCACCCCGCAGGAAGCTGGACAAGGCAGGGGTCAATGTGGGCACTGTGCCCGGCCATTACAGGTGCTTAGAGAGCCCTAACAAATAAGGTCATACTTGGGAACAAGCTTCTGTTTTGGCAAGTTACATATTTGGATTGAAATCTTTAAGGATCCCTTTCCCTTGCTTTACTCTCTTTGCCTGACACCTGTCCCAACATGCCCTGGGAGGCCATGGCTGACCGGTGGTCATGTGGCCCTGTCAGGCCTCTGTCTTAGATTAAGAAGTTAACTAGGTCAGTCACACAGGAAGTTCAGTCCTGTTTTATTGTGCCTTTCTATTTTGGAAAAGCTGAGTAGTTCCAAGTAGAGCCAAAGTTCTCTTTCTCCATGGTTGGCTAAACCAGGAGGGAAGACTCCCTGCACCAGGACCTCTGGGTTCTGGGGTTGGGGGGGTCCCTTGGACTCCTACCTTGTTCCCTGCCACGTCCATGAGGTGGGCAGCTTTCAGCACCAGCAGCCGCGCCTGCTCAATCTCCACGCGCGACTGGGCGATGTCTGCCAGGATTGTGCCCTGCTCCGCCAGTGGTTTCCCAAAGGCCACGCGGGCCCTCACCTGTCGGTACAGGAGACAGGCTGAGGACATGCTGTGGGTGACTGTGAGAGGCACGGGGGCTGGTGGCTTGGGGTGGGAGAGGCAGAGGGGAGTGGAGCACACAGGAGGGGAGGGCAGGAGAGGAGAGCAACGCAGGTGTGTGCAGCTTCTTGGCCGATGTACCCACTCTCTCAGCATGGGCAGTTTCCAGGGGAAGATCTAGTTGCATACAACATTCATATGCACCATGCCAGCCACAGTCGTGTGGCTATGGATCACTTCCAAGAACCTTTTACTCCAGCAACTCAGCCTCTGGGCAGGCCCCACCACCAGGCAGGGGCCGTTCTCTTAGACCTGAGCCAGCTCTCTTAGACCTGAGCCAGCATCTGGCCCTAGGCTACTCCTGGGAATTAGGGAGTGACTGTGGATGACCTGAGCGCCCTCTGCTGCCTATGGCCTAGCTTCACTGGAAGCCAAGTCTGGGTGTCCTCATCTGCAAAGGTTTTAAAATCTAAAACCCACAGGCATAAGATAAGGTTATAAGTATTTTTCCCCTTGTTTTATTTACTTATCTTTCTAAATGCAATTTTTACACAAATAATATATCTCATGATAGAAAAAGTATTAATTTTCAGACCAAAACAAAGAAGAAAACGAAAATACTATCACCACCATCTAGTCATTTACAATGAATATTTGGTGGAGGCCCAGCTTTGGTGGTGCAGGCAGCAGTGTACCAAACTGCAGTGCTGGAAGCCACAGGCCAACCACAAGTTTGGATCTCTAGTCAACCTGAAAACACTAGGTACACAAGCACCCAATTTCCTGATGAGTCGGAGGGCTGGGGAAAGGGGATCGTGGTGTGATGAGACCCTGTCTCTTTCTCACATGCTTGTGCATGAATTCTCTCTCATGAATAAAATAAACCTTAGAAATATATTTAGTGACTATCTTTCTAGACATTTTTTGCGTGTATACACATAATATGTGTACACATACATGTGTGTATATCTATCTATATATACATACATATATATATATATATATACATATACACAGAGAGAGAGAGAGACCCATTTTTTACCAAAAATGGAGTCATACTTTATATTGTTGCTTTGTGGCAGGCTTTTTTCCCTAAAGAATTATTTAACTTTATTTGTTTATTTATTTCTTTTAATTTGACCAGAGAGAGATAGAGTGAGAGAGAAATATGGAAAGTGAGAAAGCAAGGTACCAGGTCCAGGATTCAAACCGTGGTCGGTCACGTGGGAGTCCAGTGCCCTTAACCATCATGCTACCTGTTGGCCCCTGTAGCAGAGTTTAAGAAAAAATTTGCTAGAGGGCATGTGCACTCACCAGAAAGAGAGGGAAAGACAGACTGTGACAACATGGTGGAGGTGGCCAGCTGTAATCCTTCCTCCCCCACTTTGCCTTTCAAGATGGGCGTGCATACGCATCCAGTGTGTTTCTCAAGCCTCCAGGTCTGAGACTCGAGCTGTGCAGTTGGCCATGTGGGATCCAGCCACCTTAACCACCACATTACCAATGGACCTTCTAGCAGACTTCTTACAATGTAAAAGTACACAATGAACATCTCTATATTATGGAATAAATTTCTACAGCACCATTTTGGATTTCAGGGCAGCCCCTACTATGGTATATTTGCCAGTCACTCACTGTTAGCCTTATAGGTTGTTCCCAACATTTTGTTATTAGAATCTATTATGTCCTGAGTGGAGCTGCCATGTTAACATTATGTATTTTACTTTCTGAAGACCTATGAGACATACAGTCAGAATGCCCTGCCAGAAGGTTGGTCTGAGTTTTAGTGCCATATGGGGAGTGAGTACCAACCCGACCCCACAGAGAGCAGCATTGTGTTCTCAGAGAAGAAAGAACTGGGCAGTCCCAACTCGGAAGGGTGCAGATCAGAGGTTTGCTCAGTAATCAAAATGCATGTTCCTGCCTCTGTCCTTGTATAGCATTTGTTGTGAGGGCTTTGCTTTGGTCTTGAGGGTTTGCTTCATCTTTGTGAAATCAATGCCACTCTTGAATTCCTGTCCTCAGCTTTCCCTGTGAGGGTCACAGCAGAACAAAGTTCCAGGACATGCTGGGGGAGGAGGTGTAGGGCCAGATGCTGGAAGCTGAGGATGAAACAGGCTATGAGAGATCTCCCTGGCCTCTGCTTTCTAACCATGAGCTAGGAACGTGAACAGCTCTAAGCAGCCCAGGGCCTCAGAACCTTACCCTCTGGTGCCACAGAGCCTGACCTTTTGCTTCGGATCACTTCAACGAAGTGGGCCCCATTCTGCCCTGATTTTCTTTTTCTTTTTTTTTTTTAAATTATTTATTTAACTTTATTATTATTTTTAAAAATTTGACCAGAAGGGAACAGAGAGAGAGGGAGAGAGAAAGTGAGAAAGCAAGCCACCAGGTCCGAGACTTGAATCACGGTTGGCCATATGGGAGTCCAGCACCCTTAACCACCACACCACCTGCCAGCCCCTGCCCTGACTTGCAAATAGTGGCAAAGTAGCAGATGCAAAGCAAAGTCAGGGAGACAGCTTCTTGGCAAGAGTGTCACCTTGTTTCACCTGCCAGGTCTGCTCTCAGAAGACAGGATTTGAAACCCGACAGCAAAGCAGGCAGTGGGTAGGGTCGTTGCAGGTAAGGGGACGCACTCACGCGAGCCTTCATGAGCGCCAGGGCCCTCTCGGAGAAGCCAACCAGCCTCATACAGTGGTGGATCCTGCCGGGACCCAGACGGCCCTGGGCAATCTCGAAGCCACGACCAGGGCCCAGGACCATGTTCTCCTTGGGCACACGCACGTGCTCAAAGCGCACTTCACCGTGGCCACCTGGAAGACCCAGACGATCACCCTGAACCATCACCGTGTCCATGTTCCTTGGATCAGGTTATCTGTAGCCTTCTGCTAGGACCTGGGCACCAGGGAAGAGCAGGCTGGAAGGAGCCCACTGATGATGGAAAGTGAATCTCACTGAAAATGGCAGATAAATATTTTCCATTCCTTCTGTAACACATAAAGATGCTACCTTAGGCTGAAACTCCCTGCGACTCTAACAAGGTAGAGATCCTATGGGAACATTATAAGCAGGGACGTGAGCACTGGCAGCAGGAACCATGAGAGGCCCACCTGGGGCCTGGAGACCTGCTGTCCACATTGGGACCTGGAAGAGAAGGTTTGCAGTACACTTCCTGCCTCTGCCCTGTATGGCTTCCCTGTCTTACAGATTCCTGCTTATCTTCTAATTTAGAAGAGAAAAAAACCAAAAAAGCAAAAATGCCTGCCTGAAATCTGCCTCCATGGTTCACACTCATGTATGGAAAGGGAAGGATGGAGCATAGGCCCCCCTATAAGTTCTCATACTCTTAGACATGGGACATGGCAAGTCCACAAGGAGGATGAGGGCAGCTCAAAACCACTCCCCAGGACTAGACCCCCACACAGGGTGACCCGCGCGGGAGCTCTAACCTGGCGCGTCCTCCAGCCCATACACCGTCAAAGGCCTGATGACTTTTATGCCCGGGGTTTCCATGGGAACCAAGAGCACAGACTGCTGCTGATGGCTTGAGGCGTGTGGGTCTGTTTTCCCCATAAACACACAGAGTTGGCAGCGAGGATCCAGGATGCCTGCCAGGGAAGGAGAGAGAGAGAAAGACCCTGTCACCTGATGCCCAGGCCATGCGTCATCTTTACATTCGCAGTCCTGGCTCGGGAAGGGCAAAGCCTGCAGACACCGTGTAACCAGATGAGCATCAGATGCTCATATTGACCAGAAGTAAAGGCAGGCTGGCTTCTGTTTCAATGAAGAATGAACCCAACACAATGAGAGCAACTTAAAAAAAAAAAATCATCACTGGGACAGCCAGTGGCATGGTGGTTAAGGTGGCTGGATCTCACATGGCAAACCACAGCTCAAGACCTGACCCAGCAGCTTAAAAAACATACTGAGCGTGTGTGCATGCATGCCCCAAATCCTTTGAGCAGGAACAGAGGAGAAGGGATTGTGGCATGGCTGTTCCCATTATGGGAATGCATCCTCACTTTCTCACTCTCTTTGTGTCTCTCCCTGGTGAGCACATGTACCCTCTAGAAAACTGGCCCTACTGGGCACTGAGAGACCTGCTCACCAGACTCATCGCTGTGTGCCTGGAAAACAGAGGCCAAGTACCTGTGGTCCACCACTTGTGACCGTTTAGGACATAGAAGCCATCCTCCTCTCGAATGGAAGCCTCGATGTTGGTAGCATCTGATGAGGCAACCTGAACAAGAGCACATTCTGGTTAAAGCAGGCAACATCCTACATCCCCTGTGAAGCAGAGACCTAGAGGGCAGCGGGGAAGGGGGTAAGCTAGGTACCTGGGGCTCGGTCATAGCAAAACAAGAACGGGCCTTGCCCTCCAACAAGGGGATCAGCCAGCGGGCCTTCTGCGCCTCGGTCCCGTACCGCACCAGAAGCTCCATGTTCCCAGTGTCGGGAGCCGAGCAGTTAAATATCTGAGAAAGGAGAACAAGAATGCGAGTGGCTCCCACAGCCATGCTGAAAACCAATTACCCCAAACACACTGGAGCGGGACCCTTTCCAAGTCAGACTCTCTGATGACCTCACAGAAGTTCTTTCATTTCCCCAGAAAAATGCTCTAACACACATTTCAAATATAGTATCTCAAACCACCTGAAGCCTAGCCATGAAGCCCCTCCGTGTTTGAGAGGAAGGAGATAGAGGCAGGGGCTGGAGGCTGGCATGGCTCTTATCTTCCCTGAGCGATGCCCAGCCTAGCTGCTTCCTGCTCCAGCTCTGGCCATCTGCCTGTAGCCATCCTCCCTCCTTATAAGAAGCTGAAGTTCCATCAATGGTCCTGAACCTGGTCTTCCTATCCGGACAGGAAAATGAATGAGGGCAGGGGAGAGGTTCTGATGGAGGACTAGGGCACTCGCGTGAGGAGGACAAGTTAAGGGCAGTACCTCGGGCGCATACAGAGACGTGCCCATGAGTTCACACAGATGGGCATACTCCACATTGGTCAGTCCTGCTCCGTATTTTTTCTCGGGATCAACCTCCAAGGGTAGAAAAAGGTTCCAAAGTCCTTCAGCCTTGGCTTTCTCCTATCATGGGAAAAATAAGTCAGGGAGTCATAGTGAATTATTTTAATTTGACCCATGGAAAACAACAGAAGAGATTGGAGGGAAAAAAAAAAAAGAAAGAGGCAGAGAGCCAAAGATGTATGTTGGCCAAAAACAATGGCCTGAATCCTTGTCCTTAACTGCAGATCGGTGGGTTGCCGTGGGGAGCAGCCAAGTCCTGCTGGTGACAGGGACAATCAGTTCACTCCCCCAGGACACCATCTCCCAGACCCCTCTACGTGTCATATTTACCACCAGCATTCTTACTGTTTTAATTGAATCCTTTTAGGGCGCCCTCCAGGAACACAGTAGACCAAAGGATGGATCCTTTGACACACCTGATAGCAGGGCCCAGAACCCCTGCCTGCAGCTCAGTCACTGTCACATGGCAAACAAGAGCCCCTGACTTAGCTTCATTTATAAGGCAAAATCTTATTTGTAGCACAAAAAACCCAGATTCCTAAAGGTAGCTCCAGGCTGGGTCACTAGGAAGTCTATCCTGGGGGTTAGGAATGCAGGCTTTCTGTCAGGCTGTCTAGTCAAGTGACTCAACCTCCATGTGTCAGCTTCATCTCCTGTGAAATGGTAATGTGAGCACCCACCTGATCAGTGAGGACAATGGAGCTGCAGCCACGGGAACGGACTGTGAGGAAGTGGAGGAAACAAGGAATCGAATGGGAAGGCTCCCAGGAGCCCCCACACGGGACAGGGAGATTAGACAATGAGGCCCAGAAATGGACAGGAACCTCAGCCTAGGAGAGGCTGTCAGCGGTCCAGCAGGGGATGACTGAGGACCTGAGTTTCCACCTTGAATACACTGCCCACGTTCTCAGTCCCCAGGAAGTGGGAGTATTGCTGGCACCTTGAGTGACAGTCCTGCCAGACTGTATCCAAAGGTGGGAGGGAAGTACAGCTGGGGCGCTGGGGGTAAAAAGTACAGAAGGGACCAGCACAAGGCAGCCCAGACCACCAGTATCTGTAGCACCTGCCGCACAGCCCGACTGTGAGGATGAAGTGAGATACAGGGTCTGAAGGCCTGGCACAGAAGCTGGCAGACTGCGGTGACCGTTAGTGATTTGGAATTGAATCGTCTGCTTTTTCTCACAGGGAGGCACCAGCTGGCCTGGTCTCAATGTCATGTGCTTCCAGAATCGGTACACACGTCTGTGTCACGATTTGTGCTCAGCTAATTAGCTCAGGGTGCAACGACCGAGGATAAGAGGGCAGATTAGCTGGAACAACCGAAGAAGGGTGGGAAGGGAGAAGTAGGAAGCAAGGGAGTTCTAAGAGGCAGAATGGAAGAATTAGTATAATCATCTGTTTATGGGGAGGGCAGGGAACAGAACCACGCAATTCAAGCCCAGAGATCTAGATTATTGCTTGCTGTGTACCCTCTGCAAATCCATTTCCTTACCTTTTTTTTTTTAATATTGCCAGAGGGCACACATACTTGCCAGACAGACACAGAGAAAGAAGGCAACCCCCCCACCCCCCCACACACACAGTGTGGTCACACTGCAATCCCTCATTTCTCCACTCAGTTAGGATGTGAGGTATGCATACACATGCACCCGGCATGTCTTTCAAGCCACTGGGGCCAGGATTCAAACAATAGTCAGCCATATGGAACCCAGCTCCCTTAACCATAGGGTACGGGGCCAGCCCCATTTCCTTATCTTTAAATTGATTTGTGAAGTGCTTGCTAACTAGCCAAATATCCTTCTCATTCATGTATAGTAAATCACACTTTGGATATAGTGATGAGCTATGATTTCATCACTCTATCTGAAAATCTTAGTTACCATTATAAATCCACTTAGGTAGAACTAGAATGTGCACTGAGATAAGATTTTTTTTTTTTTTCTTTTAGAGGTTTTTGCCTTAGAGTGCATGCACTTGCTGGAGAGAGAGACAGAGACAGACACAGTGAGAGGGAAAGTGATAAATCACCCCCCAGGGGGATCGCCACGCTGCAATCCCTCCTCCTTCCTCCTCCCAGAATCTTGGGCATGTATGCACACATGCCTGGCGTGAGTTTCAAGCCACCAGGTCCAGGACTTGAACCATGTATAAGTCCATCGATGTAACCGCTCTGTCATCTGCTGACCCTGATAGACTTTCTGAGGAATCTGTTTTCAAGTGTGGAGGTATGCGCTGCAGGAGCATTTGCTTTTCCAGAGCTTATGTGCAGCCGACAGCCAGGCTGAGATCATATGGGCAAGGATTAAGTGTCCTGGCCAGCATGGAGGAAGGGCATTTCACACAGGAGTGCTGGGTGTGTACACTGAGAAATGCCTTTTGGATAATAGTTTGGTAATATTTATTAAAATTCTAAATGGTTGGGGCTGGCAGTTGGCATGGTGGTTAAGGCACTGGACTCCCACATGGCCAACCATGGTTTGAGTCCTGGACCTGGCAGCTTACTCTCTCACTTTCTCTATGTCTCTCTCTGGTCACATTAAAAAAAAAGAACTAATAATAAAGACAATTAAATAAAGTGATTCTTTTTTTTTTTTTTTTTGGAGAGGTTTTTTTCGCTATAGGGCATGTGCGCTGGCCAGACAGACAGAGAGAGACATAGAGACAGAAAGCGAGAAATCACCCCCCAGAGGGGATGGTCACGCCACAATCCCTTCTCCTCCATTCTCCTCTCAGGATCTTGGGCACGCACGCACACACACACGCCTGGCATGAGTTTTAAGCCACCGGGTCTGGGATGCGAACTGCAGTCGACTATATGGGAGTCCAGCGACACAGCCATTATGCTAACTGCTAGTTCCCAAATAAAGTGATTTTTAAAAAAATTCTAAATGGTCTCTTTTTTGGACCACTGTTTTTACTTCAGAGAATTTATCCTATAGGAAACATTAAATGTACAAAGAAATACAAGAACATTCAGTGCACCTTGCTTATACAGGACTCAACACCCTATTTTGGGGACTCCCCTTTTTTATCAGTATTGGTGGAGTCAAAACCCCATATCTCTCTGCAGAAGCTGAAAGGGGGCCAGCAGTGAAGCTGTGGGCATAGGGGCTACACTGGGCCGGCTGAGGAAGTGTCTGGAGAAGACCTCCTAGCTGGCTGTCTGGGGCACATCCCAGCCATATTCCCCACAGCCTGGCCTACCTTCCTGTGGTGCTGCTGTCATCGTTGTCATCTTTCATAAAGTTTATTTTATTCCTTCCATGACAGAGAGAGACAGAAGGTAGACAGACACCTGCAACAGGGTCTTTTCACTGCACTCCACCTCCAGATCATGGGCATGTGTGTGCCCACACACACAGGGAGACCTCTGGGCATGAACCAGGGGCCTTCCCATGTGGGTCCAGCATTGCAGAGCACTGTATTACTGCTGCGCCACCACTGCTGGTCCTCTACTGTCTTCTCAATCCTACTAATCAGTGGCCTTGCTATGGCTTGTCCCCCAAAGATTCATGTGCTGGAATTTAGTCCCCAAAGTAGTGGCATTGGAAGGTGGTGAGACCTTTAAGAAGTCAGGCTGAGTGGATGGGGGTTAATAGAGGAACCGCTCTCATGAACAGATTAATGCTGTGTCATGAGAGGGAATGAATTCTCACTCTCAAGGGAAAGGGTTAGTTCCCACAAGAGCAGGTCACTGTAACAAAGAGCTACTCATAGGTCTCTCACTGTGTAGCCCTGCTGTTTTTCCTGCTTCTGTCAGTCATATTGTAACGTAGGTTGAGGCTGGCCAGATGGTGGCCCCATGCTCCTAGACTTCCTAGCCACCAGAATTGTGAGCCAGTAAACCTCTTCTCACCCAGTCTCAGGTATTTCTGTTTAGCAACATGATATCAGACTGAGACAGTCCCTCAATGTTCTCAGCCTTCAATGTTCTTTGCTGCCTGGGTGACCCAGAGTTGTTGACCTGGATAGCTTGCAACTGGACAACCAACCGAGACACACCCAGAGTGTCTTTCAGCTGGGGGTAGGTTAGACAAAGTATGGTGCACTCACACTGCACAATCCCTCAGTGTTGACATCTGTGCTGGCTGGGAATGGGGATACATTAGATTTGAAAAGCAAGCAGGAGATGTCAACATATAGAATGAATAACATAGGAATAGTAATATATGTTCATTTTTTTAAAAATTTACTGGGGGGGGGTACAGCAGGTGATGTGGTGGTTAAGAGTGCTGGATACCCATATGGCTGACCACAGTTCGAGTCCTGGACCTGGTGGCTTGCTTTCTCACTTTCCTTGTCTTTCTCTCTCTGTCCCTCTCTGGTGGGAAGGGAAGGGAAGGGGAGCAGAGGGAAAAGGAGAAAGAAAAGGGGAAAGGAAAGGAAAAAAGAAATGAAAGGGAAAAGGAAAGGAAACAGGAAAGAAGAGAGAGAGAGAGAAAGTTAAATAATTCTTTAAAAACAATTTACTGGGGAGCAGCAGGTGGTGTGGTGGTTGAAGCACTGGACTCCCATGTAGTTGACCATGGTTCAAGTCCCGGATCTGGTGGCTTGCTTTCTCACTTTCCCTTTCTCTCTCTCTCTCTCTGTATCCCTGGTCAAATTAAAAAATAAAAATAATTAATAAAATAAATAAATCTTAAAAAAAAAAAAAAAAACTTACTAGAGGGTATGTACACTTACCAGAAGGGGGTAGACATTGTGGCAGAGTGAAAAAGCACCCACCAGGTGGCCATGCCACAGTCCCTTCTCTATTTCATCAACCTGTCAGAATTTGGGGCACACACACACCCACATACGTAGCGTGTTTTTCAAGCTGCCAGAGCTGTGACTCACAGTGTAACTGGCCGTGTGGGATCCAGCACCCTTAATCACTAAGCTACAGTGTGCTGGCTCAAGAACTCAGTCCTTCTGGTGATGATGGAAATTCAGATGATAATTCAGCTCCATGCTCCTGGATCTGCTCCTGGACAGGGCACAGATGAGCCCTAAGGATCAGCTTTACCTTGAAGTCTTCTATCAGTGGGGAAGGGTTCCATCTATCCGCTGAGGTCTGGTGCCTCTGCAGCTCTGGCTCCGCCGGGTACACATGCTGCGCCATGAACCGCTTCAGCCGCTGATACAGAGCACTGGCACGTGGGGAAAGGCCCTCTGGAGAGATGACCAGGGAGCCCTTGGAGGCATGAGCTGGGGAACCTTCTGGAATGGAGCTGTAAATCCTGGTGCCTGTGCGGCTCCAATGAGACTGTGGACCGGCCCGTGTGTGATAGGACCTTGTTAATGGCTTGGCAGCTGGCATCTCTTTGAAAACCCGGAACCCTTCTTTGACTGCAAAATCCCATGCCAAGTCAGACATAAATTCAGCCAGCTTTCCACTTTGTTCAGCTGTTGCTGAGCTTGCTTGCCCTAAGCAGAGTTAAAAACAAACAAACAAACAAAGACTGATTACTCCCAAACAACTGTTGATAAGAATGCTAACCTGTGACAGATAGTATTGTCACAGCAGTACCCATTACCAGTCGCTTAGCACTAACTAAGGACCAGACAGAGAGGGCTAAGAGCAACTGTTACCGCTCCTGGAATTCCCCAGGCAACACAAGCATTTTCATTTGCACTTTGCAGACAAGGAAACTGAGGCCTAGAGAGGGCGTTTCTTGCTCCAGCTGTCAGTGGCCAGCGGCCAGAAGGCACACTAGGTCTGCCTGCTCCTACTCTCTCCCTCTTCTTTTCCTAAAGGAACCACATGTAGGGAACCAGCAGTTAGCGTAATGGCTATGTTGCTGGACTCCCACGTAGTCAACTGCGGTTCGCATCCCGGACCCGGTGGCTTAAAACTCACGCCAGGCGCGTGTGCGTGCCCAAGATCCTGAGAGGAGAATGGAGGAGAAGGGATTGCGGCGTGACCATCCCCTCTGGGGGGTGATTTCTCGCTTTCTGTCTGTCTGTCTGTCTGGTGAACGCACGCGCCCTGTAGCGAAAACCTCTCCAAAAAAAAAAAAAAGAAAGAAAGAAAGAAACCACGTGTAATCATAACACGCAGTCACTGTGTCACTGGTGGACTGTAAGAAACCCTGCGTTTTCCTAGACCACCCTCCTATGAAACTTAACGCAGTGGCACAAGTGGCAGGGTGAATGGCCAGTATCTAGGCACGATTTTGTCTGGATCAACAATGAAATACCAGCATCACCAAACTCTCTAGTTTTCCTTTTTTGTTTTTCTTTCTCTCCCCCCCGCCCCTTTGGAGAGGTTTTTGCTATAGGGCCCATGCGCATGCCAGAAAGACAGAGACAGAGAGACAGAAAGCGAGAAATCACCCCCCAAGGGGGATGGCCACGCTGCAATCCCTTCTCTTCCATTCTCCTCTTGGGCACGCACACACATGAGCCCGGCGTGAGTTTAAGCCTCCAGGTCTGGGACTTGAACAGCAGTCAATTGCATGGGAGTCCAGCAACATAGCCATCTCGCCATCTGCTGGCCCTCAATATGGGGAATTTTTCATGGAAAAGATCTGTTCAGCTCTCCACAGGGCCCTGGAGCAAAGCACTGAGAGCTGAGCAGTCCATTAGGAATGTCACCAGGCAGTCAGGCCTATCCACCACCTTATGGACTTAGCAGCCACTCGTGTTTAATTACATGCGTCTAGCTAGCTGGTTAGCTTTTTTTTTTTTTTAAAGAATTATATTTTATTTAACTCCATTTATTTGTTTATTTATTTATTTTAATTTGACCAGAGAGTGACAGAGTGAGAGAGAGAAGAAAAGTGAGAAAGCAAGCCACTAGGTCCGGGACGTGAACCACAGTTGGCCACGTGGGAGTCCGGTACTCTTAGCCACCATGCCACCTGCCAGCCCCAGCTGGTTAGCCTTTAATGCAAGGCCATAACAGAAATGGGAATTGGTGGCTTAGAGCTGATGCGATCCAAAAGAAGTAGATATGCTGTTGCCAGGAATTCCTGTGAGGGTTAAACTGGAAATTCTCTGGGTACTTATTTTTTATTTATTTATTTATTTTACTTTGTTTCCTCATTGCCAGAGGGCATGTGTGCTCATCAGAGACAGAAAGAAAAAGACAGGGAGAGGGAAAAAGCACCCCACAGTGCCATTTCTATACCCTGTCAGGAGGTTGGGAATGCACAGGCTGAATGCTGCTGTTCAGCAGACTGAGGCCACAAGGGAGGCCCGGATTCACTTCCTGACCCATCTTAAAGAGCCAGGCAGGGTAGTGTGCACCTGGGGTCCTAGCTACTCAGGAGGCTGGGGCAGAAAGATGGCAACACAGCAAGACCCTGGGGAAAGTAAGTTTAAATATTTTAAGGAAAAAAACATATCTGACAAATGGCAGCGTTCACTAAAGATTTAGAGCTCTAGTCAAACTGGACCCAAGCCCTCTGCAGCCAAAGGAGAACTCCCAAGTGGAGGTGCTGTCTAGATCCATCCCCTCAGGCTGGCTCTTCAGGGCAGCCGGACCATTACCTGTGAGCGAGCGCTTATAGACGCCCTGGAGAATTGCAGCCACCCGGAAGAAGGAGAAAGCCATGTAGAAGTTCCAGTTCTCAACGGGAGGGATGCCCATGTGAAGACAGTACATGCTGAGATACTCTTCCACGGTAGGGATTCCCAGCTGAGTCACATCACAGTCACTGATACCTGAGGTGAACGACAGAGCCATTCCTGGGCGTCAAAGACCCAACAGTTTCTGACAATCACTGTGTCTGTTGGAAATCAGTCTCACAACTGGCTCAGGAGGTTAGCTCATTATTTCCATGGCTCTGACCTCCTCAGATTGATGGGGATACAGGCATGAAGGGATGATGTACAAAGTGGGTCTGAAAGGTTTCTGACTAATCTGTCAGTTAAAGGAAAGGAACTGGGGCCTCTGACCCCATCTGGTCCACAGTACAGGCGGGATGCATCTTATCTTCAACTACTCATTCGATTGAAAGAGAAATCCCACCAAATTATGACGAAGATCATCAGAACAAAGAAAACGTTTTACTGATTTGCTTCATTTGTGATACTTTCATGATTTTTAAGCATGTAATATATTCCATTCCCATTAATTTGTCCTAGAAGTGTATCTTAAATACCAGGAAAGATACTGCTACAAAGATGTTCACTGCCTTTTTTGTGAGAGTAGGAGAGAGGTAATATCAAAAAATTAGAAACAGATTAAATGTCCAAATAGGAATTAAGCTATTTGTCTTATGTGAATTCTATGCTATAAAACCCTATGCTGACATTTAAAATTATGCTGTGGAAGATATACTTAACAGCATGCAAATATCTCCAAAGTATACAATTAAGTGGAAAAAAGTAGGCTGTAAATCATTACATTTTTGTTTTAAAAAGTGTACTTATGTGGGACCAGCAGTTAGTGTAATGGCTGCGTCGCTGGACTCCCATGTAGTCTACCGCGGTTCAAGTCTCAGACCTGGTGGCTTAAACTCATACTGGGCGCGTGTGCGTGCAAGCCCAAGATCCTGATATGAGAATGGAGGAGAAAGGATTGTGGCATGGCCACCCCCCCTGGGGGAGTGATTTTTTGCTTTCTGTCTCTCTGTCTCTCTCTGTCTTTCTGGCGAATGCATGTGCTCTATAGCAAAAACCTCTCCCCCAAAAAACGTGTACTTACATGGGGCCAGCAGGTGGTGTGGTGGTTAAGGCACATGCTCAATTCCACAGTTTGAGTCCCTGACTCTGTGGCTTGAAAAGTACCTGGGTGTGTGTGCATGAATGCCCAAAAACCCAAGAGGAGATGGAGAAGAGATGACAGCATGGCCATCCCCCCTGGGGGGTGATTTCTCGGTGCTTCCTCTCTTTCTCTCAGTCAGTCGCTCTCTCTGGTGAGTGCATGCACCCTATGGCAAAAATCTAAAAAAAGAAAAACAATGTACACGCACACATAGGAGAGGGCGTGGATACTGAAATGTCAGCAGTGAGCGCCCTCTGGGATTACTAGTGATTTTAACTCTTCCTCTTTTTCTTTTCATTTTTTGCTATCTGTGGACACTAATATCTTTACAATAAACTTGTATTTCTAAAAATAATTATTTTATTTTAACTTTTTTATTTTAATTTGACCAGAGGGGGACTGAGCAAGAATGAGAGTGAGAGTGTAAGAGAGAGAGAAGGAGAGGGAAAGTGGGAGAGTAAGCTGCCAGGTCCTGGACTCAAACCATGGTTAACCATGTGGGAGTCCAGTGCCCTTAACCACCACGCCACCTGTCAATCCCCTAAACTTGTATTTTTAATTCAAAAAAATTAAAATAGAAGTCAGCTGTGTGACAGCCTAAGCGGTATCCATTCCAGGCATACTCATCACTGAACATACATGCATCATGCACCAAATGTGGCTGGAATGCCTTCCACTTACATTTTCTACCCAAACCACCAGGGCTTCCCCTTCATGCCCAGCCCAATCACAAAGGGCTTCAACAGAGTTCATTCTCGAGAATGGGGCTGGCCTAGCCCTCACTGCCCATAGCAGTGGCTCCTACCTTTCAGCAAGGCAAAACTGGAGGGCAGGTGGTGAGCCAGGCAGCTGTAGGCCACGTCAGCCAGAGGGTCACCTAAGGTAGAAAGCTCCCAGTCAAGGACAGCAAGCACCTCTGTCTTTTCTGGATGGAACATTATGTTGTCGAGCCTGAAAAGTCACAGAAGGAATGGAAAGAAAGCTCTAAGAAAATTGACCACTAAGGTGAATTCCGTGCCGGAGGTGGTTCGTTTGCCCCTCCAGACTCACTCCCTACCCTCCCTGCCCTTCGTCTAAGTGACACCAGCTGCTATAACTGCTGTCTGAAGTTGGTATGTATCTACCTCGGACATTTAGGAAAAAATTTGCTAGGGGAATGCATGCTCACTGGAGAGAGACAGAGAGAAGGAAAGTGAGAAATCACCCCAATGGGAGATAGCACACCACAGTCTCTTCTCAATTTCTCTGTCAGGATTTTGGTCACACACACACGTACCCAGTGAGTTTTCAAGTCACCAGGTCTGAGATTTGAACCACGCAGTCTGCCATTTGGGACCCAGTCACCTTAACCACGCACCACTGGCTGGCCCAGACATTTTCATATTTCTGTTATTTATGCATGTGCCTAAAAACCTTATCTAGTGTCCTTTCAGTTCTTTTAAAATGTACAAAATTGATATATGCTGTATATGTCCTTTGGGAACTTCCTTTTTTTTAAAAAAAAAGCATTAAATTTTTGAGATTTATTTATGATTATTTATGTACAGCAAATTGGTTTATTTAACCTGCTAAACATTTCCAATCATAACCAAGCTGCAGTTTATCTGTAACGTATTACAGTTCCAAGCAGGACCAATGTGACCGTCTTTGCTTGAATCTCCTGGCAAACGGGTGCAGAGGCTCCTGAGGAACTGTGGACGTAGCACAGCCCAGCTTCTGTGGTGCTGCCTGTTACCTTTCAAAGTGTAGTACCAGTTTCTGCTCCCACCACCACCGATTCAGTCTGTTAACGGGAAATGTCCTTCTATCTGTCCACAAGTGGAGACAGTCTGGGCTGCACGCAGTGATGAAGACGCAGCAGCATGCTCCCCACAGGTGACGTAGCACCACAAGTGACCACGATGCCTCATTACAGCCGAGAGAGGAGATGCCCAGCCACTGTGGGACTTGTCCTGATGCCATGGATGCTATTACATTCATGGACACTCACGGTGCCAAGAGAGGCAGAGACAAGGTGCATGGGGGGCTGCTGTGGACGGCCTCCACCAAAGGAAGCGGGCTGGGATGGCCAGCAAGGAGAGCACTGCTACAGGCACTGCAGAGTCCCAGGCAGCAGAGCAGACGGAAGAGGGAGGCGACAGCAGCCCAGCGACCCAAGGTCAAGGCAGCAGGGGAAAGGCTCTTGGACTGGCCAGTCAGAAGCAGATGCAAGAGCAGGTGCTCATGGTCCTGGTGACAGCTGCATGTCGCAGAGAAAGTCCAGCTTTTGATCTGAGATGTGGGGGCATCACCAAAGGCTTACGGCTAAGGGAGGGAGCTGGAGTGAGTGACACGAGCCAAGTCAGCGAGGAAAGGCCAGTTCAATTTAGAAAGCAAAGAGATGTCTTTACTGGGTTGGCCCCATAGCCTAGTGGTTACGTGGGCTGGATCTCACATAGCCAACAATGGTTCGAATCTCAGCCTCGATGTGTGAAAAATACACTGGAGCATGGTGCGCACGCCCCTAATCCCATCAGAGGGGAGATGGCAAAGGGCTGCGACATTGCTGTGCTCCATTGGATGGCGCTTTCCTCCCACCCCCCACCCCATCGCTGGTGAGTGCATGTGCTATCAATTTTAAAAATTAGTCTTTACTGTCTTCTTTGTTTTATAAAAGACACAGTTGGACCGGCTGGTGGCATGGTGGTTAAGGTGGCTGGCTCCACCCCACATGGCTGACTATGAGGTTCGAGCCTCCGACCAGGCGGCTTGAGAAGCACACCAGCACATGTGTGCACATGCCCAAAATCTTCAAAGGAGGGAGAAATGGAGGAAAAGGGACTGCACTCTGATCATCCCCAATGGGGTGGGTGGTATTTCTTTTCTTTCCCTGTCTCTCTTGCTCTCTCTCTCTCCAGCAAATGTAGGTACCCTCTGGCCTGTTAACAAAATTAATAAAAGCCACAGTTCACCTGGATGCGCAAGAGAACAACTAAATGGGCTGGAGCCCAAAGGAGGCCTGCTTGTATCAAAATCAGGTCTCTGGGTGCTGCTGGGAAACAGAAAACACTATAAAGGTGAACTGTGGGCCTAACAGGCAGCCGTCACAGCAAGAGATGATGAGGTAAAGCTAGACACTCCAGCCAGAGGCAGGGCATGCTCAACTTCCAGCTGCAGCCATGCTCGAGACTCACTGTGCTCCCTCGGAACCATGGCCGCTCTCTTTCCTGCCTCTCACTCCAGAATGTCTATCACCCAGTGCCGAGGTGCCTGCTCTGCCTCACTTTCAAACAGTGGTTCTCAACCAGCCAGGATGCTGCAGGACAATGTCTGCATGGATAGTCATCGTGACTTGGCAGTGAGATGCTACTGGCATCTGTTAGGTTGTCAGGAAAGTCAGGGTGTATTTCTCCATGGTTTTCTATGCAAAAATGCATCGTGACTTTCCTGATGACCCAACAGTAGGTAAAAGTTGGGGATGATTCTTTACACCCTGCAGTGCATGGAGCAACCTCACCACGAAGAACTACCTTCCCCAGAATGTCATAGTGCCAAGCTGAGAAATCCTGCCTTCTGAAGCCAGGCACAGGGAACTATGTGGTAACAGGAGTAACTCCCAACTGCCCATGGGCCAAGATCAATGGCTTAAATTCCCCTGTGAATGCCCTTCCCATCAGTTTCCACACATACATATTCAGCTCTCTGCCGGCCATGTCTACCTGAAGTCCCCGTGTACCACCGCGGTCCTCTGTTGACGGGGAAGATGGAGTGGCAGCCATTCAATGAGCCTCTCCATCGTGGGGATGCGTCCAGTTGCTGAGGCTCGGTACTGTTTAATCCAGGTTTGCACCTGGCGTGCAAGGTAGTCTCCTGAAGGAAAGAAGAGAAGACAGTATGCTAGTTCAACATCCTCCAAAGGCTCTGAGAGCTGACCAGCGCAGGGAAACCAGCAGTGCTGGGTGGTGGGGCTGCTTCCCCATCACTGTGCTGTGACTGGAGAAGTCCCAGATGATGCTCTTGCCATCTGAGGGAGAAGCCACCTGCCATTTTATCTTGGCTGGATCACTGTGGTCTGGGACCTGTTCCCAGCCACACAACCTCGATGCCTAATCCCCAGTCCTCTTAGAGAGTTTGGGAGCTTCCTAACAGTCCTTAATAAATCCCCTTTGGCTAAGAGCATGAACTCTGGAGCCAGACTGCCCGGATCCGGACCCCAGCTTTGCTAGCTGCAGGAGCTCAGGCAGCTCACTTAACCTCTGTGCCTTAGTCTCCTCCTCTTAGGACAGAGCTGCTGAGAGGGTAAAATCCTTGGAACTGTCCCTGGCACGTAGGAAGGACTAGACGAGTGTTGCTATTTTTATTCAGCTGCTCGCTGAGAAACCCGAGTGATGCCACAGGTGAGGGACTCACAGATTCATCTAGGAACATAAACTGGAAGGGATTCTGGAGTCAACCCAGCTCATAGCCAAACTCTTCAATTGGCTTACCATCTCTGAGCCCCCTTTGCTTCCTCAGTACAGTGAGAGTCGAAACCCACATTCCGTAGGGCTGCTGTAGATACTAAGTGAAGTCCACCTATTGTGTGCCAAGTTCAGAGCTGGCATAGAAGGCTGCTTGGTGAAGGGCCCAGCAGTGGGTACAACATGACGCCCTGTGAAGCTGCCCCACATGGGAGGTTTCCGGTTTGCATCCAGGTATTTCCTTGAACATATTGGGCATGCATGCCCACAATCCGGGCTGGCTGAGGCTGGGGGTGGATCGCGGCATCAAGACCCTGTTGAGGGTGCACTCGCACTCTTCATGTGCCCTCTCTCTCTGTGTCTCTTGTTCATGGAAGAAATACATTAGAAAAAACAGGAAAGCCTGGCCATCCCATGGTGATCAAGCCCCAGACCTGGTCGCTTGAGAAACACCCTGGCCATGTGTGCATGTATGCCCAAAACCTGGAGGGAGAGATGGAGGGAGGGGAAAGGGTTCCTGGGCAGGGTGGGGGGGTGCTTTCTCATGTTTCCTTCCTGTCTCTCTCTGGTAAGTGTATGTGCCTTTGGCAAAAATTAAAAAATAAATAAATAAATAAAATAAACACCTGCTCAATAAATGTTGGTCATTATTATTGTTGTTATTATTAATAGCTGTCAATTGACAAATTATTAGTTGCCACCATTACTAACAGAACACTTACTAAACAACATCTCAGGTCCCTGGCTATAAGACAAGCCCTCACACTTCATCTGAAGGGAAATGGGCCCCAGAGAAGGGTCTGGACAAAGGAACAGAGAGATCAACCTGTGGGGTCCACATATCATCAGAGCATCTCCACACTGGCCTTGGGAGGATCCCACGGGGCTGTGAGACACAGAAATCAAAATCCACAGGAATTTAACTCAAAGCAAATCAAGCTTTTAGAACTAACTCTAGTTTTCAATAAGAAACAGAAGATAACAATAAATTAAAAACACAAGGAAATTAACAGAGACAAATCTATAAGACAACTTGGTCTCTTAAAAATTTCGGGATCAGTATATGGCATAAGTGACCGCAGGTCAAGTTCTGGACCCAGCAGCTTGAAACTCATGCTTGGTGTGTGTGCGTGCATGCTCAAAATCCCAAGAGGAGAATTAAGGAGAAGGGATTTCAGCGTGGCCATCTTCCCTGTGGGGTGATTTCTTGCTGTTTCTCTCTGTCTCTCCAGCCTGTCCTGTAACAAAAATCTCTCTCAAAAAAAAAAAAAAATTAAAGAAATGGGGTTGGAGACCAGCAGATGGTATAATGATTATGTCGCTGAATTCCCATGTCGTTGAATGTGTTTCAACGACATGGGAATGTCGTTGAAGCTTAAAACCCACGCTGGCAGCTTAAAACCCACGCTGGTTGGGCATGTGCCTGCATGCCAAAAATCCTAAGAGGAGAATGGAAAAGAAGGAATTATAGTGTGGCCATCCCCCTGGGGGGTGATTTCTCGCTTTCTGTCTCTCTCTCTGGTGAGTGTACACACCCTATAGCAAAACAACTCTCTAAACAAATTTAAAAAAAGAAAAAAGAAATGGGGCTGGGGGACTGTTCTAGATTCTTTAATTGGATTTTAATTTGGGCAAAAATCCACTCACCTACTTATACAAGATATTTGGGGGATAATGGAGAATTTTGAATATGGACTCAGTTTTAGATATGCCAGGAAAAATGGTAAATTTTCTTGGATGTGATAATGACCTTGGAAAATGTCCTTATTTTTAGAAAATACATTCTAGGGTTGGCCCTGTGGCCTACTGGTTAAGGAAACTAGACCCCGCATAGCCAACTACAGTTCAAATTCCCACCCTGGTGGCTTGAAACACACACACTCTGTACACATGACATATGTACACAGGTATATGTGCATGTGTGACTAAAATCCTGACAGGATGGAGAAATGGAAGAGAAGGTATTGTGGTGTGACCATACCCCATTGGGGGGTGGTTTCTCCCTCTGTCTCTCTCTCTGTTTTTCAATGGCAAACATACACAACTCTTGAAATAAAAAAAAAAAAAAAAGAAAGAAAGAAAGAAAGAAAGAAAGAAAGAAAGGAAGGAAGAAAGAAAGAACAAAAATGCATACTAAAATATTTAAGAATGAAGTGTTGCAGGCTCCACAACTTTCTAATCACACAAATACACACAAAAACACACAATATATACATGTACAAATATGAGGGATTTCAGATGGTTTGTGGAAATGGAATTAAAATAAGAGTTTGTTGGGACCAGCAGTTAGTGTAATGGCTATGTCGCTGAACTCCCACATAGTTGACTGCGGTTCGAGTCCCGGACCCGGTGGCTTGAACTCACGCCGGGCGCGTGTGCATGCGTGCCCAGGATCTCAAGAGGAGAATGGAGGAGAGGGGACTGCAGCATGGCCACCCCCCCGGGGGGTGATTTCTCGCTTTCTATCTCTCTGTCTCTGTCTGTCTGGCGAGCGCACGTACCCTATAGCAAAAACCTCTCACAAAAAAAAAAATAATAATAAGAGTTTGTTTACAGAAATTTCTTTTGAAATCCATGCATAGTTTTATTTTTTTCATAGTACACATTTCATGAACTTTTTGAAATCCCTTCATATATAAGAGATAGATAAGGAGCAAATATGGGACAAAGTAACCATTGGTAAGACTAGTAGTGAGCATATGATTGATTATTCATTGTACTAGTTAAACTTTCCTGCTAATTTGCAAATTATCTTCAGAAGTTGAATACAAAAACAACAGAGGTGAGTCTAGAAGGAGCCCCTCATGAGAACCCCCTACGTGGATCTGGGACACCACCTACCATACACATTGACCCAGTGTTGCACACAAACAAAACACTTCGATATTTTAAAAAATCTATTCCTGGGACCAGCAGTTGGCGTAACGGCTATGTCGCTGGACTCCCATGTAGTCAACTATCGTTTGAGTTCTGGATCTGGTGACTTAAACTCATGCCAGGCACATGTGCATGTGTGCCCAAGATGCCGAGAGAAGAGTGGAGAAGGGATTGTGGTGTGGCCATCCCCCCGGGGGGTGATTTCTCGCTTTCTGTCTCTCTGTCTCTCTGTCTTTCTGGCAAGCGTACACGCCCTATAGCAAAAACCTCTCAAAAAAAAAAAAAAAAAAAAAGAAAAACCTATTCCTGTTGAAAAAAATATTTAGGGGAAGGGGTGAAAAAATGGAGAAGAATGGATCTTAAATACCTTTGGACAGTATCAGAAAGAAGAAAATATAAATGATCTAATGAGAGAAAAGATGCAGGGAAGAAAGTCTGTAGTCTAAGAAGGGATTTATCTACAGACAAAATATCCAAGTATGTAACAGCTCTATTAAAATGAATGGGCTCTCTCTTCCAGGAGGAAGCTGAGTCCACACCATTTTTTAGCAAACACTTGGTGTGTTAACGCCTTGAAACCATTCAGTTCCTAAGGGCCAGCTGCCAGTGACAAACGACTAGCCCCAGGCTCACCTTGCTTCCCGTAGTCTTCCAGGCCCACAGCCTTCAGGTCCACACTGTGAATTTTGCACAGGACTCTGTTCATGGCAGTATATATGGCTCGTCTCTGGCTGGGCTCCAAGCCTGGCAAGGAAGGGTCTTTGTAGATGAGGCCTGGGCAGTACTCCATCAAATAGAAAGGAGTGCCGATGACACTAGGAGGGACAGAGACGGTGTTGTAGGGGCATGACTCATAAGGTGGTGGGCATTAACCATGACTGCTCTTCCTAATGTCCCAGGGGTACACTGTGGGTGCTGATGAGGCGTTTGGCACAGAGTACTGGACACCGCCTTTTTCCTTTGCACAGACGCAGAGGGAGTTAGATGTAACCACCACTGCCCCCAGCAGATACACAGGCACACCTACACCCGTCTATACTGCTTTGCTTGCATGCCTCTGCCTTCTCATTGGTCCATGTGTAGAAACCATGGGATGGGTTTAAGTGAGAATGAAGGAAAGCAGCATGTTAAAAGAGGGGCTTTGGAGTAGTGTAGAACCAGGTTTAAATCCCATCTCTGCCGTTCACTAGACAGCATCATGACCCTGAGAGACAGGAAGCCTCCTGAGCTTTCCCGTTTTATTCATCTGTAAACAAACCTACTTCAAGTGGTAGTTTTAAGAATTAAGGGAGCAACTAGATAGAGTCCCTGGCATGGGGTCTGGTTCCAATGAGGACTCGGTAAATATCTCTTTTTGTTACTGGTGTTACTTTTACCATAATGTGGTAGTAGGGAAGGACACACATACCTTCCGATAGTCATAAGGCGACCCACTTATATGTCATTAACCCATCTTTTAGTCATAACTAAAGTTTGCTACTCTGAAAAATTGTATTGAAAATTCTATCAGAGGGCTGGCCAGTGGTGTGGTGATTAAGGCAGCTGGATCCCAAGTGACCGCCTGCACAGTTCACATCCCACACCCAGTAGACTGAAAAACATGTTGAATGCATGTGCATGCCTGCTCAAAGGAGAGAGAGATGGGGGAGACAGGAGTGCAGTGTGAGCATCCCCCAGTGGGGTACACTACCTCACTGCCTGCTCCCTCCCTCCCTCCCTCTCTCTCTCTGGTGAATACAAGTACCCTCTGGCAAAATAAAAGTTGAAAAATGAAAATTCCAAGATTCTAAATGTTTTCCTAACTTGAAAAACTGTTTATAAAAGACACTAATGGAATAACTGGGAATATTCAGACATTGGCTACATATTAAATAATATTAAACAGGCCAGGAGGCAGAATGATGGTTAAGGTACTGGGTCCTCTATGGACAACTGTGCAGTTTGAGTCCCAGACCTGCTTGCTTGAAAGTCATGCTGGGCATGTGTGCTTGTATTCCCAAAACCTGAGAGGAGAATAGAGGGGAAAGGACCATGGCGTGGCCATCCACCCTAGAGGGTGATTTCTCACTTTCTCTCCCTCTCCATCTCTCTCTCTCTCTCTCCGGTGAGTATACATGCTCTCTGGCAAAAAAAAAAATCTATAATAATAATAATATTAAACTATTGTCAGTTGGTGTAATGGCTATGTCACTGGACTCCCATGTTGCTGACCGCGGTTCAAGTCTTGGACCCGGTGGCTTAAACTCATGCCAGGTGCGTGTGTGTGCGTGCCCAAGATCCCGAGAGGAGAATGGAGGAGAAGGGATTGTGGCGTGGCCATCTGTTCTGAGGGGTGCTTTCTTGCTTTTTGTCTCTGTCTCTCTCTGTCTTTCTGGTGAGCGCACATGCCCTATAGCAAAAACCTCTCCAAAATAATGATAATAATAATGAATAAAGTTAAATAAAATTATTTTTTAAAAATCTCTAAAGAAAAAAATGTTTTTGACCAATTGTCACAAAAGCAGCCATGTCTTTATCTTTCAAGAGAACAAAGATCTGGAACCAGCAGTTAGTGTAATGGCTATGTCACTGGACTCCCACGTAGTGGACCACGGTTCGCATCCTGGACCCGGTGGCTTAAAACTCATGCTGGGCACATGTGCGTGCATGCCCAAGATCCCGAGAGGAGAATGGAGGAGAAAGGATTGTGGCATGGCCATCCCCCCTGGGGGGTGATTTCTCACTTTCTGTCTCTCTGTCTGTCTCTGTCTGTCTGGCGAGCGCACGCGCCCTATAGTGAAAACCTCTAAAAAAAGAAAAAGAGAGAGAGAACAAAGATCTGAGAACTTCCCAGAGAGGCTGCTCTAAAGTCCCTTTTATCTCCTACCCAAATTTTTATTTGTCTTTAACAAAGTGAAACTTAAGTTAGCGTATGGGCCTTTCTCCTTTGTAGCTTGAATATGCAAGGGTAAAAATACACCTGAGCTTTACCTTGAATCTTCACAGAGGTCGAGAACATGGGGGACGGGCACACCAGCACTTGCAAGCGCTTTCATTACTCTGCCAGAAGAAATGCAAATATGTGTAACGGTTGGCTGAACTGAGACTTTCTTAAATTGCTTTCCTGATTCGAAAATGAGTACATGTATACATTAAAATGGAATCATAAAAAACATTCAATTGACCCAAAAGTACATAAGAACAAAATCCAAATGAGTCAAACAAAAATGGAGAAATCATAAACCTAAATCAAACATGTCAGTAATTATATTACATTTAACAGATGAAACATTCCAATTAAAAGACAGAAATTGTCAGGTTGGAGGACCAGCAGTTAGTGTAATGGCTATGTCACTGGACTCTCATGTAGTCGACCACAGTTGGAGTCCTGGACCCGGTGGCTTAAACTCACACTAGGCGCATGTGCGTGCGTGCCCAAGATCCCGAGAGGAGAATGGAGAAGGGATTGTGGCGTGGCCATCCCCCAGGGGGTGATTTCTTGCTTTCTGTCTCTCTGTCTCTCTCTGTCATTCTGGCGAGCGCCTGCGCCCTATAGCAAAAACCTCTCAAAAAAAAAAAAAAAAAGCTGAGAAATTGTCAGGTTGGTTTAATAAAGCATGACCTAACTATCTTAAGTCTACCAGAGACATTTTTTTTGAGAGAGATTTTTTTCTATATGGTGTGTGCACTTGCCCGAGAGACAGAGAGACAGAAAGGGACAAATCCCCTCCCCGGGGGGATGGCCACACCGCAATCCCTTCTCCTCCATTCTCCTCTTGGGATTTTGGGCACGCATGCACATGCACCTGGTGTGAGTTTCAAGCCGCCAGGGGCAGAGGCTCAAACCACAGTTGACTACAGGGGAGTCCAGTGCCTTAACCACTACACCACCTGCTGGCCCCCATGGAAACATGTTTTAAACAAAAACACATGTTGAAAATAAAAGGATGAAAAAAGAGGTATATACAATTGGCAAGCCTTAGCAAGCTGGCATGGTTTGCTAGCTTGTTGCTTATTGATTTATGTTTTTGCCATAGGGCATATGCACTCACTAGAGAGAGAGAGAGAGAGAGAGAGAGAGAGAGAGAAGGTGAGAAAGCATCCCATAGATAGGATAGCAACACTGCAATCCCTTCAGTTCTTCCTTTGAGATTTGGGGCACACAAGCCCAGTGTGTCTTCCAAGCTGCTAAATCCAGTTTAACCCTGCAGTTGCCATGTGGGATTCAGCCACCTAAACTACCATGTCACCGGCTGTCCCCATTTCTCCTTTTTTGTGTTTACCTTATTCATGAGAGCAAGCGCATACACGTGCATCCAAGTGAGACAGACAGACTGACAGGCACCTGCAACAGGGTAATGTCAACCATGACCCACTTCCCCCAACCTCCAGCTCCTCAGGAACTTGGGTGCCTGCACACCTGGCATATCTCAGGTCGACTCAGGATCTGAACCCATTGTCAGCCATGTGGCTTGTAGCACTGCAGTGCAGAATGCCACTGCCTGTACTGAGGCTGGGCCAATTGAATTCTTTTTAAAGATTTTATCATAGAAAATTTCAAACACATAAAAGTAGAGAGATTCATTTAATGAACTTCCATATAGCCATCATTCAGCTTAAATAATTATCAACTCATGGTCATGCTTGTTTTGGCTATATCTCTACTGATATATTGATCTTAAGACTAAAGGTCTTAGGGCTGGCAGGTAGCATGGTGGTTGAGGGCACTAGACTCCTACATGGCTGACCACAGTTCAAGTCCTGGACCTGGCGGCTTGCTTTCTTCCTTTCCTGCTTGCTTGCTTGCTCGCTCACTCGCTCTCTCTCTCTCTCCCTCCCTCTCTAGTCAAGTTTTAAATAAATAAATAAAGTTAAATAAAATAATTCTTAAAAAAAAAAAAAGACTAAAGGTTGGGGCTGGCAGGTGGCATGGTGGTTAAGGGCGCTGGACTCACACATAGCCATCCACAGTTTGCATCCTGGTCCTGGTGGCTTGCTTTCTCCCTTTCTCTCTCTCTCTCACTCTGTCCCTCTCTGATCAAATTAAAATAAATAAATAAAGCTTAACAAAATAATAATTCTCAAAAAAAAGGACTAAAGGTCTTAAAAACTAATATTTACTAAAAAAAATAATTAAGATCAACAAGTGTCTCAATAATGCCTTTTTTCCTTTTTTTTAAAAGAATTATTTTTTATTTAACTTTATTTATTTATTTTAATTTAACCAGAGAGGGACAGAGAGAGAGAGAGAAAGAGAGAAAGCGAGTAAGCAGGCCGCCCTGTCCAGCAACTGAACTATCGGTCAGCCATGTGGGAGTCCAGCGCCTGTAACCACCACACCACCTGCCAGTCCCAATAATGTCTTTTTTCCTATGGCCTGGTGGTTAAGGCAGCCAGATCCCACACGGCCAACCATGAGGTTCAAATCATAGACCCAGTGACTTGAGAAACATGCCAGACGCGTGTATGTTCATGCCCAAAATCCCAAAAAGGAGAGAGAGACAGAAGGAATTGTGATGTGCCCATTCCCTGTGAAGAGTGCTTTCTCCTCCTCTCTTTCTCTGTCTCTGTGGCAAAGGTATGTGAGCTCTAGCAAAATAAATAAATAAAGCCTTTTTTTCATCTAGAAGTTCCAAAAAATCTGGTCTGACAGGTTTAGATATAGAAAAGAGAAGACTTCCAAACTTCTAAATGAAATTAAATGTTCTTATTTAAAATAACATGGAAGGACCAGCAGATGACATAATGGTTATGTTGCTGAATTCCCATGTAGTTGACTGCGGTTTGAGTCTCAGACCAAGTGGCTTAAAACTCATGCCAGGTGTGGAACCAGCAGTTAGCGTAATGGCTATGTCGCTGGACTCCCATGTAGTCGACCACGGTTTGAGTCCTGGACCCGGTGACTTAAAACTCACACTGTGCGTGCGTGCCCAAGATTCCAAGAGGAGAATGGAGGAGAAGGGATTGTGGTGTGGCCATCCCCTCTGGGGGGTGATTTCTCACTTTCTGTCTCTCTGTCTCTCTCTGTCTTTCTGGTGAGCGCACGTACCCTGTAACAAAAAAAAAAAAAAAAAAAAAAGAAGAAGAAAACTAATGTCAGGTGCATGTATGTGAATGCCCAAAATCCCGAGGGGTGAATGGAGGAGAAGGGACTGCAACATGGCCATCCACCCTAGGGGATGATTTCTTACTTTCTGTCTCTTTGTTTCGCTGATGAGCGCATATGTCCTATAGTTTAAAAAATAAATAAATAAAAGAAAGAAAGAAAAGTAGTAAGAGAGAAGGAGATTGATAATAGTAGTCTTAAATATCTCAGGGCAGGGCCTGAGACTGTGAACTGTGGAGTACGGCTGACCAGCCCTACCCCCACACCCCACGCCCCAGGCCCTGAGAATTTACCTGAACTCCCTCTCAATGGCGTGGGCAGATGGAAGGAGTGTCCCTGGGGGTTTCTTCCTCAGAACCAGCTGGTGATGGGCCAGCCTGACGTAATATGTTGGATTTGACTGCCCATGGTCAAACTGGAGGAGTTCCAATGGGCCTACAAGTTTAAAAACAACACTCAAACTGGATCTGGAGACATGTCTGGGTGGACATTCTTTCTTTCTAACAAGTTCTGCATTTGAGATACAGTGAAAACAACAACAACAACAAAAAAAAAACACCTCCTCTCTGGGTATCAGAGATTGAGCCCTAGGTACACCTTGCCAGCTCCAGTCCAGAATCACATGCTGCTACAGTGTGCAAGGGCCACTTGCTTTACACTATGACAATTTTCTCACTTTGTCTGGGTGTCCGGTTTTGTCCTCCTTGCCAACTCCTGCTCCAATGAACAAAAACATTTTAGTTCTGTTTATCAACCATCAGCAGTCATGGCAACCCATTCTGCCAAGTCGGGTGCTTTAAGCCAGAGGGTGAAAGTGCCCTTGTGTGTCCCTCAGCCCATACTCAGCCAAACCACGCCTGACACTGATGTGACAGCTGAGAGGAGCTATGCAGGAGCCTTAGGCTTGAGCCCAAGCTGCTTCCGTGAAATGCAATTCCCCACCCCACGCGACTGAATTTAAGGCTCCCTTACAAGCTCTTGGCTGAGGTGGACCTAATGAACAACCCTCAGCTTCAGAAAAAGGCTAAACTCTGACGTGGATTCGCTTCCCTTGGCCAGAGGGATGAGAAAGCATGAGAGTCAGCCTGAATTAGTCAGAACAGCCCCTCCACTGCACAGAGGCACCACCAAGAATCCTGTCTCGGGAAAACATCATAACACGGAATTCCACGGAGCTGTTCCCATGGTTCAGTAATTAAGGGAACTGGATCCCGCATGGCTGACTATGTGTTTCAAGTCCTGGACCCAGCAGATTGAGAAACATATAGGGCACGTGTGGTGTGTACCCTAAGTTCTGAAAGGATGGAGAAATGGAGAAGGGATACAGCATGACCACACCCCATTGGGGGTGATTTCTCCCTTTCGTCCCTCTTTGGTGAGCACATGTACCCTCTAGCAAAATAAACAAACAAACAAACAAAAAACACAATAGAACTTCACAAACAAAGCCTTTTGCTTTTCTTTTTTAAAGAATTATATCATTTAACTTTATTTATTTATTTATTTTAATTTGACCAGAGAGGGACATAGTAAGAGAGAGAGGGAAAGTAAGAAAGCAAGCCACTAGGTCCAGGGCTCAAACCACGGTCAGCCATGTGGAAGTCCAGTGCCCTTAACCACCATGGCACCAGTAAAGTCTTTTTCAAGGATCAAGTGGGTGAGGCAAAGCTTTGTTCCCAGGGATAAATGTATTCAAAAGCTTATGAGGGAGGAATGTGCAGGAAGAGAGCGCTTGTCACATTTTAAAATCATGAAACCTTAAAGTCGCCTTCACAGAGCAGGCTGTCGTCTCCAAATACCATGAGGGCTGACACGGCCCTGAGCACACAATGTCATCCCCAGGGTCCTCTCCTTGACAGCCACTTGCAGGCAAATGCTACCATACAAGCCACACTCTCAGGAGGAAGACAGGATGGGGACAGACATTTTCATGGATCCATAAAAAACGGTGAGGCTTGGGGCCAGTAGGTGGCATGCTGATTAAGGTGCTGGACTCCCACATGGCTGACTGTGGTTCAAGTCCCAGACCTGTCAGCTTACTTTCTTATTTCCTCTCTCTGTCTCTCTCTCTGTCTCTAGTGAGTACACATACCTATAGCAAATTAAATAATGATAATAATAAATAAATTAAAAAAAAAAAAGGTGAGGCCAACCATGGTTGTGCAGCAGTAACAGCACTCGGCAATGCTAGGCCATATAGGAAGGTCCCAAGTTCAAGTCTCAAGGTCTCTTGGTGCATGCTAGGCACGCACGGGTTCTGATGGTCCTGGCTGGCTGAGGCTGGGGGAGGATCACACCATGAAGACCCTGTTGGTGTGCCTGCCTCTGTCTCCCACACTCATGGAAGAAAGTAAATCAACTTTAAGGGGGGAAAAGGAGGCTAATGCTTTTTCCCAAGCACAACTGAGAGCCGCACTGAGGTCCACTGACCCAGTCGCTAAGCTCCTCACCACACTGCCTGTGAGTCCCGGCAGATACCCTCAGGGTTTAAAGATGAGAACTGGACGGAAACCCTAGCATTGGAGAGAATTACCATGATACAAACCCCTACGTACCTGTGGTTTGGATCCCTAGTAAGCCTTTGAGGTACTTCTCCAAGGAATCTTTTGGAATCTCCATGGTCTTTCTCACAGGACGAGTGTTTGGAATGCCCATTCTTAATGTAAAACCCAAAAGAGTTTCTAACTCCTTTACTGCGGTCTCAGGGTCATTAACCTGGTTTCAGAGAGAATACTGAACATGTTCGTTACCCAGCAAGAACTTTGGAGCCAGGATAGTCAGCTAATAAGCTAATAAGGAAGCATTGGAATAAGTAGAATGAGATTCCTCTTCCCATTTATTTCCTAACCACATGGGACTTTCTACCTGCATGGAAGCAAACCCACTAAGAATTCATCCTACTCTTGGGACCAGCAGGCGGCATGGTGGTTAAGGACGCTGGACTCCCCCATGGCCACCTGTGGTTCAAGGCCTGGACCTGGCGGATTGCTTTCTCACCCCGCCTGCCCCTTTTCTCTCTTACTCTGTCCATCTCTGGTCAAGTTAAAAATAAAGAAATAAACTTAATAAAATAATTCTTTTTTTAAAAAATAATTCATCCTACTCTTGCGTTATGAGGGCAAAAGACTGTCTCTGTCTCTCTCAGCCCATCTTCTTAATGAAAGCCCAAACACAGACAGCTGGCCCGAGACCCCCATCTCCAGGGACTTCTTGGTCTTACTCCCGTGACCTGGGCAGCTGGTGTAGCTGGTAGCTGCTGGCCCCTACCTGGACCAGAATCCCCAGGACAGTCTGACTGCTGTCTTAAATGCCTTCAACCTGCCACTCACTGACTTGTGTATCTTTTCATAAACCGATTTCTAAGTATGTGTTTATCTTTTTTTTTTAAGAATTATTTTATTTAACTTTATTCATTCATTTCATTTTTTTAAAATTTGACCAGAGAGGGACAGAGCGAGAGAGAAAGAGAGAGCAGGAAAGTGAGAGAGCAAGCCTCCAGGTCCAGGACTTGAACCGTGGTTGGCCATGTGGAAGTCCAGCATCCTTAACCACCACGCCACCTGCTGGCCCCTGAAAATACAAGCAGCTAGTCACATTGATTTCACAGTTAATGAAAACTAAGGTGACTGTGGAAACGTGGGGGAAATCTGCTGCAGACAGCTACAACTACAAATGTAAAAAACTGCATGAAATGCTTGCACCGGTGTCCGGTGAATAGGAAAGGCTCAAAAAACAGTGATAATGACCTTAATGGTGTGAATACCAAGTCTGGCAGCTGCTTTTAGGTTCGGTCCAAGATCGTCAAGAAAGATGGCCTCGGAGGGCTGCAGGCCGAGCTGCTCTAAGCACAGCTTGTATATCCTGAGGTCTGGCTTACACACTCCTTCCAGGCAGGATTCCACAACCTGGGGAGGGACAGAAACAAGAGATGAGTGTCCCTAAGAGAGGATTGCCCACATGCGTGCAGGCGAAGGGCAACAAGAGAGAGCTCTGGGTAAAATAAGTCAGAGCCTGGGGACAGACTCAGAAAACCAAAGTCTGGTTCAGATACCGTGACCTTGTACAAACAGTGAAACCCTGTGGGCCAGCCCTTGGTGCAGTGGTCAAGCACAGTGTAACAGGAGTCAGATCCCACATGGCCAACTGTGGTTTATCTCAGACCCAGCAGCTTGAAAAACACACGGGGTACTTGTAATGTGTGCTCAAAAGCTGACAGGATGGAGAAATGAAGGAAAAAGAATAGCGTGACCATGCCCCGTGGGGGAGTACTTTCTTCCTCTAAGTGCACATGTCCTGTGTCAAAGAAAAAAAATTTTTTTAAGCAATGAAGCCACAATGGGCCTGTTTCATCATCAATAAAATAGGAACAATAACAGCCACCTTATCTTAGTAGCTACTGTGAAACTGAAATGAAACGCAAGTTCCAAATGACAGACCATTTTGCAAATGCTACCTATGGTGGCTTCACAGTGCAGATGAAAAGCTGTAGTACAGAAATGTCACTGTTCTGTTTTCAGAAGGACACTGTTCATTGCTACAAAGTAAACATGACCTTAATGTTCATTTTGGAAGTGAAAAAAAAATCCATACTCAATTTAGACAGATCATTCCTATGAGAAGACTGACCCCAAAGAAGCCATCAGTGGCAAAAACACTATTCCTTTCGTGCTAAGAAGCCCTGTGCCCTGACAGCCTTGCTTCTGCCATTGATGTGATCTGGCACCAGGTGGGGCTGATGAGGACTCAAGAGAACTCTGAAAAAGCTGTTTCAGTATCAGGGTGTCTGCGATCCAGTGACCCCCTCCTCTTACCCTGTCCTCAGGGCTTAGTCTCCTAGAAAGTGGGCCCAAGACATTCATATAGGCCTACAACCTATACCCTCTGGTCTGCCCTAGGCTAGAACTAAGCTGACCCAGTGCTGGAATGACTCAACCTCTCTGAGGACAAGGACAAGGGCCCCTCCCTCTATTCCACAACTGCATTCTGGGTTAGGTAAGAACAGCACTTTCAGGTAAATACATGTCCTGATTAAACTGGATCTCTTGGGCCAGCTCTGTAGTCTTGTGGTTTAGAGAGCCAGATCCTTCACGGCAGACAGTTTGCCACAGTTTAAATTCTGGCTCTGGTGGCTTAAAAAACCCACCAGTTGTGTGTGCATGCATGCCCAAAATCCCAAGAGGAGACTGGAAGAGAAGGGACTGCAGCATAGTCATCCCCTCAGGGAGTGGTTTTTCACTTTCTCTATCTCTCTCAGGTGAGCGCATATAGCAAAAGCTCCAAAAAAAAGAGACTTCTGTCAGAGGTTTCCCCAGCATGTTCCAGGCTACCCTGACTTGCGCTACACTTGGTGAGACGGTTCCCATTGCACTGACACAGGCTCTCCAGGCAGGAATGACCAGAGGAAACGGTCCCCAGGTCTATCACAACTCTCAAAGTCCCAGAAGACCGACTGCCGATCTGGCCTTTGGAGTCTCTAGAGGGAGTTATTGCTGCTGTCATTTATAAGATACAAATAAACATTTAAAAAGTAGCAAATACAGCAAAGCATGTCGAAATTATACCATAAACATTAAAGCAAATCGTGTGCAATTTAGTAGAGAAGTAAATCGGGCCAGGGAAGGCCGTCTATTATCTGACAGTGCTGGTCTAGGAATTCACACCATAGCGATGGAGGGCAACATAGTGGATCTTGGGAGAAAAAAGATCAAAGAATCCAGTAAGATGTGGGGGCAGGGCCAGTCCCGTAGCCTAGTGGGTAAGGGAGCTGGATCCCACGTGGCCAAGTGTAGTTCAAACCTCGACCTTGGAGGCTTGAAACACACACCGAGTATGTATGCATGTGTGCCCAAAATACTGACAGGGAGAAACGGGAGACGGGGTGTGCTGCAACCACACACCATTGAGGAGGATGCTTTCTCTCCCCTCCCTCCATCTCTGGGGAGCACATACACCCTCTGGTGATTAAAAAATTGTTAAAAAGAAAGATTTGAGGGCTAATGGAAATGGTCATCTTATATGAGGACTAAGGTTTGAATTCAGAATGTAAGGGAGTCTCTAACACTGAGGTTTCGACCAACTCCCTTAAATATGTGACCTTGCTAAGAAGACAGTGATATTCCGAAAGCCGTGTTTCCAACCTATTATATCAAAACTAACTTAGTCGAGCATCCAAATAAAAACCCATTTGTTCGAAAGACAGCACTTAATGTTGCATCTGTACTAAAGGTGCAGGATCTGTTCCAACTGTTTCGGATCACCTCAAGCTTACCACATCAAACTGATTCCGATCCAGGGGCAAAAAGCTTTTTCCATTGGGAAGGTGAAAATTATTGCTCAAGACCGCCGTCTGAAGGCCTTTTGCCCGAATTCGAGTTATGGCCTCAGTCATCACTGGGAACTGCTTTGCCACTTGCTTACTCGTCAACAGAGAGAAAAATGAGTCCACGGGCACCAAGGTCTTTGTCTATGTGCAACGGACAGAAGAGAAGAACCAGTGATCATTAATAGTGAGAACCACCCGTGACCGACAGGAAAAAAATCCTTATTTCTGGCTTCCTACTGCCATCTGGTTGTAAGAGTCTAGACCATTGGCTTGCTACCCCCCCACCCCTGTGTTCAACTTGGCATGTCAGGTTTTAAATAGTGACTCAGAATTAGAGTCCCAGAGATGAGAGAATGGAGCTATTTATATCAATATGATGGTTCAATGAGCTCTTTATTCCACTCATAGATTGATGGTCTTAAAAAAGTCAGCACACTGTAAGAGGATACATTCATCTGTAAAAGTGTATTACACAGATGGAATTTAATTTTTAATGATACAGAAGGCATTTAATGATTTTATATTGCTTCAGTATCACCATTAGTAACTTCAGTTACTGATCAGTGTTTCATTTTTTAAGTTCAATCTATGTGGGTTTTGAAAGGCTGGGGCCAAAAGGTGGCATAGTGGTTAAGGTGCTGGACTCCCACATGGCCAACTGTGGTTCAAGTCCTGGACCTGGTGTCTTGAAGCTCATGCCAGGGGGACCAGCAGATGACACAGTGGTTACATCACTGGACTCTCACATGGCCAACCACAGTTTGAATCCCTGACTCGGTTGGCTTAAAAATCATGCCAGGCGCATGTGCATGTGTGCCCAAGATCCTGGAAGGAGAATGAAGGATAAGGGACTGCAACATGGCCATCCTCCCTGGAGGGTGAGTTCTCACTTTCTCTCTCACTGTCTGTCTCTCTTCCAAGCACATATGCTCTATGGCAAAAACCTTAAAAAAAAAAAAAAAGCAAAAAACTGTTTCAATAGGGCTAGCATGAATTTAAAGAAGTTAATATAAATACAGAGCTTAGAATAATGCATAACAGAAAATACTCAATATTATTATTGATTTAAATAGGCAGAAGACTTCAGTTTCAATAACTGGAGAAACTTAGAGAATATTTTTACTTATTCACATATGAAGTTAAAATTGAGTACTTAGAGATGGAAAAAGTAGCTTAAAAACATCTTGTGGTGGGCTGGCCCTATACCCTACTGGTTAAGTGAGTGATCCCACATGGCCAACTGCAGTTTGAATCCTGGCACCAGTGGTTCAAAATACACACCAGGGGGTGGGAACCAGCAGTTAGCATAATGGCTATGTCACTGGACTCCCACATAGTCGACTGCAGTTCGCGTCCCGGACCCGGTGGCTTAAAACTCACGCCGGGCACGTGTACGTGCGTGCCCAAGATCCCGAGAGGAGAATGGAGGAGAAGGGATTGCGGCGTGACCATCCCCCCTGGGGGGGGGGTGATTTCTCACTTTCTGTCTCTATGTCTCTCTCTGTCTGTCTGGCGAGCGCACGCGCCCTATAGCAAAAACCTCTCCAAAAAAAAAAAAAATACACACCAGAGGGGACCGGCAAGTGGCACTGGACACTCCCACATGGCCGACCATGGTTCGAGTCCCGGACCTGGTGGCTTGCTTTCTCACTTTCCTCTCTCTCTCTCTCTCTCTCTCTCTCTCTGTGTGTGTGTCTCTCTGGTCAAAATTAAAATAAATGAATGCATGAATAAATGAAATTGAATAAAATAATTTAAAAAAACAGTCAGCGACCATAGTTTAAACACACACAGACACACACACACCAGGCATATGTGCATGCCTGCCCCAGATCCTGACAGGATGGAGAAATAAAGCACAAGGGATTGTGGCGCACATCCCATAGGGGATGCTTTCTTCCCCTCCCTCTGTCTAGCGAGTGCATGTGCGCTCTGGCAATAAAACTAAATGAACATATACATATATATGCTTTTATATATATATATACACACACATACACACATATATATATAAGTATATGCTTATATATATATATAAGCATATACTTATATATATATACACGTACATATACATGTATAGTAGGTTATTAGGTTTTCACTTTATTTTCAGTTTAACCAGCTTATAGATGACTGTTGCAACAACTACTCAAGGCCAATAAATTAATATGGAAATGTAGGTGGTTATTACTTTTTTTCCCCCTAATTTGCTATAAGGTGCATGCAGTCACCAGAGAGACAAATAAAGAGAGGAAAAGTGAAAAAGCAAAAGCACCTCCCACGGGGGATGGCTATGCCACGATCCCTCCTCTTCTACTCTTCTCTCAGGATTCTGGGCATGCACACACATGTGCCCCTTGTGTTTTTCAATCTGCCAGGACTGTACAGCCAGCCATGTGGGAGCTAACCACCTTAACCACCCCTCAATGGGCTTGGCACCCAAGGTTATTTTTTTTATCACTTACCATTTCAGAGCAAAGCTTCCCAAATTCTTGTAAGAACTCCTCTGTTTTCATCTCTCCTCTCATAAATCTCATCCAGGGCCCACTTTCACCACCTGTGATCAAGGCTTTCAAAATAGTTCCAGAAGGAATGTGATTCTGTACCTCCCATTCTACAAGAAGTAAAACAAGCAAAAGTGAAATACTTTGTCAGCTTGCTGGGCTTCGTGGAGCTCAGGGGAATCACCAGACCAGTCCTATGGCAGCACCATGGTGCAAGGGTGGCCACTACTGAGAATCTGGAGAAATTCAGGAGCCACAAGATCTCAAGCTCAGAGCTCCTAAGGAAGCGTGAAACCAATGTTGGGATAGAAAGCACAATGCTGTCAGGCATCAGGGCCTTTCCACTTGCTTGAGAAAACTGGACACTGCAAGACGAGTGCTCTTTCTTGGTCTCTCATTAGCTGGATTATATTCTTTAGGTCATTTCCATGTTCCTGCCACACACTGAGGAAATGTACGAAGGAATAATCCAGATCCTGACAGGATCCCCAAACAAGCGCTTCATAAGCTATAGCAATTAAAAAAAATTGTTATAAGGTGCGTAAGCTCTCCAGAGAGAACTAGAGAGAGAGAAAGAGAGAAAGCCCCCCTCTGGGGTAGGGGGGTGATCATGCCACAATCTCTTCTCCTCTGTTATCCATCTGGGATCTTAGGCACGCATGCACACACGCCCAGCATGTTTTCTAAGCCACTGGGCCTGGGACTTGAACTACTGTGGGATCCATCTTAATCACCATGCCACTGGCTGGCCCTTATAGTAGTCTTTATGGAAGTATAACTTGTGTGACAATGACATGGAGGATGCTGTCTTGTGGAATAAAGAACATTTCTACCCACAAAGAGCTAAGACAATGGATGGATCATATAAATGGAATAATTTGTGTAATGCTAGGAACATTTGGACAAGGGATTTGTACAAAGTTGTTTTTTCTTTCTATAATATAGCTGCTAGGGGCAAATACACACATATCAATAATTACACATCTAAGGCATGATATACTTTATACATACTTTTTGTTTTGAAATGAAAATTCTTTTTTTTTCTGATAAGAGTTCCTGGGGACCAGTAGTTGGCGTAACGGCTATGTTGCTGGACTCCCATGTAGTC